CTCTCTCTCTCTAAAATTTTCACCTTCTCCCTTAGTTATAATTTTTTCTTCACCCCCTGCCTCCTATTTATAGGCATTCTGGCGTACCCGGAACGACCTATACTGAATTCGGAACGGCCCGTTCTGGAACCTTCAAATATAGGCAAATTTTTTAACTGGAACGGCCCGTTCTAAAATCAGAACGGCCCGTTTCCAAAAAGCAGAACGACGCGTTCTAAAATTAGAACGGCCCGTTCTGGGTTTCATTTATACACACATTGACCATAAGTAGAACGACCCGTTTCCAACTTAACTTTTTAGGCATTTTTAAAATCTCGGAACGGCCCGTTTTCCTTTGGGAACGGCCCGTTCTGGTAAAAACCAAATAGGCCTTTTTACAAATTTGGAACGGCCGTTCTGAGCCCAGAAAATTATTTTATTATTTTTAATTATAAAACCCCTTTAATAATCCCATACATAATAATCATTTATTAAAATTTCTAAAATATTCTAAAAAAAAACCCTTTTTATTATTTAATAACTATAAAAAATAATTTTCATAAATATAAAATATTGTATAAAATTTTGGATGTTACAATTCTCCCCTCCTTTTAGAAATTTCGTCCCCGAAATTTTCTTGAGAATAGAAATAGGTATGCTCCTCGCATCTTTTCTAATTCTCATGTAACCTTACTACCTTATTGATGTACAACTCTATCAATCTCTCCAAGAATTGTCTAATGTTAATAAGTACAAGGTGAGCAATCTTGGTAAGTCTATCTATTAACCAAATAAGATCAAATTTCTTAAGAATATCATACATAACTAAAACTAAGTCCATAGATACAGAATCTTATTTTCAAATTAGGACGTCTAAAGGTTGTATTAGATTTGAAAGTTTTTGGTGGTCTACCTTAACTTTCTAACATACTAAGCAAGCATTCATAAATTCCTCCACTTTCTTCTTCATCTTAGGCCACCAAAAACATCTTTTTAAGATCTTGGTACATCTTAGTGACTCCTGGATGGATACTAAGACTACTTCTGTGACCTTCTTCTAGGATTGCTCTCTTAAGCTTTGGCATACTAGGAATGTACAACCTATTCTTAGATCACAACATTCCATTCATTCCAAATCTAAACTCTCTCCACACCTTGATT